GCTCAGAGATTCACTTGTGGAACAATGTGCACTGGAGAACATGTGAAGAAGAGTTGGGGGTTATCCAAGGCTAGAGCCATCTAGAAGGAGGGAACTGTGGGCTAGGAGGGCAAATGAATGGATTATAGGGTGCATAACAAGGCTGAAGAAGTGTCACTAGGATGGTTTGCTTCCAACTCTTCAATGTACAATTTAGCATGCGGGGGCTGTCACAACAATGCCTACCTTGCTGACAAGACCTTATCTCTGACTTCCCACTAAAGGAGTAAGAAAAGAGAAAGGAGTAAGGAAAGTTACTAAGTCTGTCTGGTTCATTTGTGAGTAGAAGCTTCTTAGAGGTCTAGAGAAACTAGGATGGTAGAAGTAGGAGTAGCCAGATAAACCCAAGGAATGACTAAGCTCTAAAATTGCTAGGGTCTGCTAGAAGGAACATCATAGGACAAGAAGGCCTGGCATGGATGATGGACTCAGGAAACTTAGATTCTGGGAAGCTGACCAGAGAAGAAGGTGACAGCCTGGGAGCATAGCATCACTATCACCTCCCAAGTTGGAGGGACATATCATACAGTTGACCCATTAATCGTAATGTCCATTAAAGCCATTACATATTTTTTTTCAGATTTCCACTGTCATGGAATTCCTTTTAGAATAAAACATTACTTTAAGAAAAAGTGACAAAAATTATTATACATGAATAGAATAAATAAAATTTAACATTCAAATAGAGAAGAAAAATTTATGGTTATAAAATATAAAACGTAGTTGTATTAGCTATCTATTTATAAAACATTGACTGAAAAGTAGCCTTCCCTAACATTTCATGGGAATTTTTTTACTTACAGAGACCCAGGTGCTTTGGCACTAAAAGGAAATACTGCCCTGTCATAATTCAGTCTCTGTGGCTGATAGGTCTATGTCACAACTACCTACCTTTTCCATTTCCTATTACTCAATTCCATCACACTGATGATCCTGACCTTGTTTCTCAAAAAAAATCCTTTAATTAAATTTCCTATTGAATATCCTATAAAAATATATATATTATGTACCTGGTACATATGCTACACAAAGAGATCTCCTTTTCCATTAGAAACACCAAGAAACATCGATCAAGAATTCATAAAGGTTTTCAAAGACTATTCCAAAAACAACTGTTTCATTGATCTAGTTGCCTCCAAATGGCTAAAAGTGTTCAAATTGCATCCCAGATCTTAGCTGGAAAGATTGTAGCTCTGTGTCAGTTACTTACAACAGAGTTACCCAGACACTATAATTTCTGATAATGGTCTTCACTTTTCTCAGTCAATCTTTAGACATTCATTGCCAAGAGACTGGTTCAAGTTGTTACCAACATACTTTGACTTTAAAGAAATGGCCCATTGCAAAAAAATGACAGATTCTCTAAAGAATTTTGCAGATTACTAGTGAACAAAAATTTCAAATTTTCTCATGTTAACCTATGTTCATAAAGTGAAATCAGGTATGTTCAGGCAGAGAAATCAAGTCTGCTAAGTTACTAATGGAGCAACATTTGAATTCTTACTTTGATTTACTCCCACCATCAGCCTCAACCCTTTCTCACATGCAGCTGAACACAACTGGAGAAAGTCTCACAAATGCGTTGACTGGGTAAGCTACAAATTCAGGTAGTCCAAGAAAATTGGGCACTCCCTACAGGAGGGTTAGGCCTTGTATTCCTCCAGAATTGATTCCCTATCCTATCCTCATAAAATCTATCCAAAACCTTTTCATTCTCAACCCTTTTCAAATCTCTCCAACTTTCACCCTCTTAGCTGAGGATCCTGCATCTTACCTTACTGAGAAAATTAGGGCCATTTGTCATGAACTTTCTTTCTCCCCTTCTTTTTACCTAAAAGCACCTTGACATTAATTGCTCCATCCTCCTTTAAGGCAATCTCTTCTAATGAGTTGAGCATTCTCCTTACCAAAGATAACTCTTCTAAATTTACCCTTGCTCCCATGCCTGTCTACTTCTCTAGCAAATTGCTCTCTCTATCATCCATCTCCTCTCTCAAATCTTCAGCTTCTCCCTCTCCACTGGCTCTTTCCTTACTCCCTTCAAACATGCTTTGATCTCCTATGATCTATGTGTCAAACTCAAATGGAACTGGATCCCTGCAAGTCTACCTGTTGACTTAAAAACTACAACTTAACATTTTCAATGTTGTGTTCTATTTTTGTTTAGTTTGTTAAATATGTCCCAATTATATTTGAATCTGATTCCCAGAGTCTTTGCATGGGAGTTTGACACTTCTGTCAAAACATGAACTAGTTCCTACTAACTCCTCAAGCTATTATTCTATATCTCTTTCCTCAAGGTATCTATACCTAGGGCTTTTATTACTTCTCCTCACAATCATTCCTCAAACCATTGTGAATTGGCTTCCAACTGTGTCATTCAACTGAAACTGTTTTACTAACAATTTCTTAATTACCAACTCTGATGGCTTTTCTGGGTCCTCATTCTTCTTGGCCTTTTTTTTTTTTTGCATTCAACACCATTAGTCATTAACTTCTTACAAATTTTCATGACCTGTCTGTCTTCTGGTTCCCCTCCAACCTATCTGGCCATTCTGTCTCAGGCTTCATCTATATCCTACTCCCATTCCCAAGGCCCTGTCCTAGGCCCTCTTCTCTCTTTACCAACTCTCTTGGGGAATTCATTAGGTTTAGTAGGCTAATTATCAACCCCAAGTTGATGATTCACAAACTGATGGATCTAGGCCTAGTGTCTCCCTTGAGTTACCGGACCAAATCACCATTTGCTGATGAGACCTTTCAAAATGGTTGTGCTAGAGACATCTTAACCTCAACATATTCAAAACTGAACTCATTATCTTTTGTGCCCCCCCATCCTCCTCTCTTTCAAACTTCCCTATTTCTATCAATGACATCATGATTTTTCTAGTCTCTCAGATGTCCTCTTTGGTGTCATTCTTGAATCCTCAAGCTTACTCATCCAACATATCAAATCAGTTGCTTAAACTTGCCATTCCACTCTCCAAAACATGTCTCTCACTTGACTTCTTATCTCTTCTATCTGTTCAATCAGTGCCACCTTAGTTCAAGCTGTCATTTCCTCTTGCCCCAAATTTCTTAATTGGTTCCCTGGCTCAAAATATTCCCATTTCAGGCAGTTCTCCACATGCTTGCCAATGATTTCCCTTAAGCTAAGATGAGACCATGCCCCTCCCCTAGTCAGTAAATACCAGTAGTACCTTATTTCCTTAAGAATCAGCTATAAATTCCTCTAACGTTTAAAGTCCTTCACAATCTGGTTACATTCCTATCCTTTTGGTATCATTGTACATTAATGCCCTTCCTTTACTCTGTGACTCAGTGAAATTGGTCTTTCTATTCCTTACACAAGGACCATTATGTCCTTCAGAAGGTCATTAGGTGACAGAGTATATAGACCACTGAAGATGGAGTCAAAAAACCTTAGTTCACATGCTGCCTCAGAAGTATATTTGTTAGCTGTCTCATCCTAGAGCAGTCATTTACCCTCTGTATGCCTCATTTTCCTCACCTGTAAAATGGCAATAATAACAGAACTTAACTCAGTTGTGAGGATCAACTGAAAAAAAAATATGTAAAACAATTGGCAAAGCTTGGAGACCCACAAAAATGCTAACTATTGTTATCATTTATCTCCCATCTCCATGCCTTTGCACTAGCCATTCTCCTTGCCTTAAATGTACTATATACGTGTGTGTGTGTATGTATGTATACATATGTATACTTATTTTTGCCTTATATGGTCCATCTTTTCCTTCATGTTGTAGACATTACCATCTACAATGATCTCCTTCTCCTAACTCCCTAACTTCTTTATATTTATCCACTATATATTTCCCTTTATACACACACACACACACACACACACACACACACACACATATATACACATACAAAATAGGTATATATGTCTCTTCTGTTAAAGCCTTTAGACCAAGACTTATTTCATTCTTTGTATTTGTATCCCTTGTGATTAGCATAGCACCTGCCATGTAGTAGGCACTTAATATTTAATACTCATTGGTTGTTTGGTGGATGGAATGATTGTCTCTATCCAAATGAAGACACCTGGGATAAACAACAATATATTCTGGATGCTGTCATAGCCTGCTATATTTCATTAATTTTTACAAGTCAGCTTTTCCTAAAAACTATGGAGTTCTAAGATCATGTTGCTTTCCTAACACTACAATTGAGGACATGATTTTAAAGTACAGATGGACTTGTGCTGTGTAGCCATATGAAAGGCTTCCTCCTCAGATGATGTTACAACAGCTTACCTGGTCCAAGGTTACTTGAACAACCTGTCACTTTCTTCATCTGGCTACAGATGATGAAGCCCATATAATCAATTTCTCTATTCCCTTGTTCATGGAAAGGACATGCTTTCTAATGAAAGTGCCTGATTGTGAACTGATTATAGGAAATAAAAGAGGAGAATTGAACCTAGTTATACCTCAGCTAATCATAACTTGATCATTTTGCCATCAAGCAACAATTTCTCTTCCCCCTTCACTTTCCTCTTCAAATATCTAATCACCCCCAAAAAGAACTGTATCTAAATTCTCAAATCAAGATTTTGGAGCTTGACATATAAAAAAAGTATATGTAGCTAAAACTGGAGATATAGGTATATGCACATACATATGTGCAAATACACATATATATGCATGTATATGATTATACATATACCCATAAATGCTTGAGTATATCCATGTATATATACACATGTACACATATGTATATATGTACACAAATTAATATACTACATGTATGTATATGTATGTATGGCTGCATCTGTGTGTTGCTTTCCATGTTCTTGTTGGTTTCATTTTTCCTCACATTAATCTATTGTGGAGCAGCCAAATATTTAATTCCCATGGGAAAATATTATTTCTAGCAATGTACTTATTATAAAATCTACTGCAATTTCATCATGAAATGTTAAAATCTATTTACAGAATTTCAGAACTCGAAAGGGTTCCCAAGACCATCTAGTTGAAGACAGACCTGAAGAAGAATGCTTTCATGACCATCTAGCTTTTTGATAGACCTAAGGTAAGAAGCACTCTGCTAAAAGTTGGAAAGACAAAAGGAGGTGAAAAACAGACCTCTCCTATCCTGATCTAGCTCAACCATTATTTCAACATTGTTCAATCTAGAATCATAGACTTAAATATAGAATGATTCTTGGGGGTTATTTCATTTCACTCCCTTGTTACACAGAGGAGGCAATTGAGTCTCCAAGAAGTGATGTGAATTTCTCAAGGTCACACAGGTAGCAAGTGGCAGGACTGAAATTGGAACCCATACCTCTGATGATTAAACTAGTACCCTTTGCATCGTACCATGCTAATCATAAAATGAAATCCAAAACGATTGTTCAAAATCAGTTTAAGATGTTGAAGTACAAAAAAGGTTAAAGTAACAAAAAAAGAAAAAAAGAAATTCTTTCCAGTATAATTCTTTTCTTACATTATTTGTCCTATTCTAGTGTGAATGTTTTCTATTATCCCTAACTGTGCTATTTACTAGCCATACAACCTTGAAAGCAAGTCCCTTTACTTCTCTTGTCCTCAGTTTCCTAATTTTTCAAATGAAGGAGTTTGAATAGAGGTGCTCTTCTTTAAGGACACTTCTGGCTCTAAAACTATAAAATGATGATTTAATGGAATATTCCATTAAATAAATATGTTGACAGTATGTCTTCTTACAATATTAGTAATGTATCAGTGTTTGGTCTTATCTGTGTTACTGTATAGGTGCAAGTAATAGAACATGTATTACAAAGGAGAGGCATATGGTAGTGTAAAGATGCAGAATCATAGAACAAGTAAATGTGATGAAGAACTATAGAGGATGGCACCATCTACAAGGATGAACAAGAAGAAGATGGTCAAGTCCTATAAAAAAGAGCTGGGGATAACTACTCAATGGCCCATGTGTTGTACTGGTGTTCTGTGGATGTTAAGTAAAAAGGAGGAAGGTCCGACCAACTTTGGGTAAGGATCCTACGGCAAACACATGAATGACAAGACTTATATTGAAAGGGCAGGACTGATGGTCTGGGATCTGCACTATTAAAAGAGACATCCACATTGATGAGCTCACCGGGCCTTGGGAGGATTTGAATACCTTCAGCATGATTGGATACTGAAGTTAGAAGTTTGCAGTACATACTAATTTCAGAGTAAAGAACAAATTAGAAGGTGGAACATTTTCCCACTTTAAGAAAAGTGATTGTGTGAATTGTGGAAATGTTCATGCTCTTAACAAAGTGCATTTCTTTTTCTTGGGGAGAAGGAAGAGTAGAAGGAGGATTATTGTGTTTAAGATTTTTATGCTTTTGAAAGAAGCTATTCATTTTGACAACAATAATTACTGACATATGACAGTATGTGTGGTTTATTGAATGAAGACTTTGCCTTATGATCAAGAAGACTGATTCCAGGCTTGTTTCTGACACTTAACAGGTTATAAGACCTTAGCCACAATGTCTCATTTTATTTAGAAACTCTCTAAGAATACAAATTGCAGAGTAGACACATATGGGTAGGCGATTCCCTCATAGATAGATTCTCTACACTAAGAAATTACAGGTGCATGTCTGTCTCATCCCAAGTCTTATCTTCTGGTTTCTTATCTGATGTGAATATCTGTTGGTAGTGCCTTCCAGCCTAAATAAGTACATACCTGAGGTGTTTCTATTATTATATGTGCATCAGAAACTTTTAAATTCCTATCATTTACATTTTTTGAAGTTGGGTAAAATTGCCTCAACCTGATTCTAGGAAACTTCTCAACTGGTCATTTGTGGTGAGTCTCCATTAGTCACACTGACGCATTTTACTTTGTATCAGATCAAAAATGTCAGAAATGGAGTGTATTAGCATGTTATTGATATATTGAGAAGATAAAATGAAAAAACATAACAAAATAAAAGTCTTTCAAGTAAACCCTTAAGGTGAAATACTCTGGGAAGAGAGAGAAAAAAAAATAGATAATTGGGTGACCTTTGAAGTCACATAGGAAAGGTGCGGGCAATGCATTAATCAGTCAGGTATATTTTGCTCATAACAAAATGATAGCAGCTTTATTACTTAATATGTGGATACCAGAAAGATTGGTACATAAACCAGCCATCATAATGTAATTGAATAGTGCAGAAAGTATATATTGCTAATGATTAATATTCCAGCCTTCCTGTAATACTATTCTAAGGTAATTTGTCATAAGGTAGAAAAATGACTGCTATGTTACTTATTCTTTGGTTTCAAATTCCCTCAACCCTCTCCATCTCAAGATGGAGCTAAGTACAATGCTGGATGTGAGTATTAAGACTTTATTGTGACAAATCGAAGTTTCTAAAATATCTTTTATAATAAAATACAAAGAACCCTTAAATACAAATAAGTAAAACTATTTCAAAACTAAAAGGGGATTGAGAAACTAAGTAATACTCAAGTTACATTTAAAACTTTCTGAAATGTCTCAGAAAGGATAATTTGCTTAGAATCCAGCAAGGAACAAAGCTGACACTTGTTTGAAACAAAGTGACTCCTCTTACAAGTATATGGGATGGATGGAGAAGGGCCCTAACTCTTTTCAGAAACAGGGAAGCTTCAAATTGAAGACATTTTCTATATTGAATGCATCAGAGTTGGCATCTGTTGGTAATGTCTAGTATTCCAGCCTACCTTTATTAGACATTTAAAGTAGTCAGAGAAAGATGGGTACTATGTTCTGGGAGCCATGAATGGAGAGTTGGGCTATCTAGCCCTTGCAGGATACATGTATTCCTTTGAATAATTTATTATTGACTTTTAGCAACTTGTTACTTCGTTCTCATTTCAAGTAAGAAGTTCAGAGGAAGCAGAGCCAGCCATCAATAAAGGAGGAAACCCAGATCAGAAAAAGTATTGAAATATGCAGAGGAAGTTGCCAAAGGCCTCCTGCTACAATGACACTCACTATTTTAAGTTCTTGGTTTACGATCCTATGAAATCATTTGCCAGAATTTCCTCAGTTCAGTCATGAAAATCTCTCCCTCTACTCCTGCCATAGAAATATATTTATGATTTAGGGGGATTTATTTAGCAAATATTTACTTTAGAGAACAATTTGAGATAGCTATTCTATAAGTATAGAGATATCTGAGGTTGAACAATTAATTAACTTCCTGTAGATTCTCAAGCGGCGTCAGCTCCTATATGTGAATACATGTGCATACATAAGTATCTAATTTACCCATAGTCCAGTTTTCTCAGTTTATTATAACACAGTTTTAAAGATTCACCATTAATGTAAACAAAAAAACAAGGGAGGAAGTCCCTAATGCCATTCCAATATAAACTTTTGATGGATAAAATTAGATAATATATGAGAAGCTACATAAATTCTGTCTACCACCACTTGGCGGTGGAAGGAGCTCCTTACAGCTGCCAGGCTACTGATTGGTGGTGGTAAATTGTGCTTTTTGGCTTCTTCAAATTTCCCTGTTTCCACTGAGAGCAATATCACCTTTCCAGCTACCTACATTCACAACCTAAGAGCCATCCTTGAAACTTCCTGCTCCCTCAAATCTCTACGTCCTTTCATTTGGCAAGTCTCACTAACTGTGTTTCTATAACAACACTCATACTTCCACACTTTTTCCCCATTCATCCAACTTTTAGTTCCCTTCAGGACTTTGTTATGTTTCACTTAGACTCTTAGCCTCCAAATTAGTCTCAAGTCTCTTACCTCTCCAATTTCACAGTCATCAAATTTCTTTTGTTAAGACAAGATCTGACCATATCATTCCTCTTTTTGAACATCTTCAGTGCTTCTAGGATAAAATAGCAATAACAGCAGCAACAACAACAATAATAGTATCTATATAGTGCTTTAAGTTTTGTACTTTATAAAAAAGTATCTCATTTTATCTTCACAACAACTTCATAGTTGCTGCTACGTAGGTGCTACTACGTAGGTGCTACTATTTTCCCATTTTACATATGGGAAAACTGAGGCAGATGGAGGTTAAGTGACTTATCCAATGTCACAGATCTAAGAAGTGTCTGATGCTGGATGCAGGTTTTCCTCACTCAAGGTCCAGCGCTCTATCCATTGCACCACCTAGCTGCCTAAAAATCCTTGTTCTAAATGTAGATTTGGGTGACTCCTCAAGCTCCTAGTACCTCTCCTAAAAATATTTTCTTTGAATTTATTTTGTATATACTTATATATGTGCATGCTCCCCCACCTCCTAGAATGTGAACTCTTTGAAAGTCAGGGAATGTTTCATCTTTGTATTCCTAGTACATAATATGGAACATAGTAAGCACTTAATAAATGCTTAATTGATTGATTCAAAATACATTCCAAATGCCATATCTTACAAGAAGTCTTTCCTGATCCAATCCCCTTCCTCCAATTGTTAGAGCTCAAAAGATGGCTTGAAATTATTTGCCATTATTTTATTTCATATTTTATACACTATTTTATAGGTGCTTTTTTATTTATCTGGACACAAGCTGGATGTTCCTAATAAACATAAATTCCTTTGTATACAGTAAAGACTTGTACAGATTTCAATTGTTGTTTTTAACTGTTTCAGAATTCCACTCCAAGAAACAGAAACATGCCCTGAGGTTCAAAAAAAATCTTATACATGCTTTGGAGCAAACAGTCATGGAGTTTCACATAGACCTTTATCGGAACAGACTTGTTTACTTGAAGTACTTGAAGTTTACTTGAAGTGAGTTTATTCTTTTTGGGACTCTTTCCATCAATGCAAATGATAGTCTTTTTACAGTGTGGTAGAAGGCTTTGGTAGAGGTCCTATGGGGGGGGGAAATCACACCCCCATAATCAGAGACATAAGAGATAAGCCTCTTTGACCATAGTTAAACTGATACTTGTTTTAGATGACTTTAGATCACTGATGCCCATTCCATTACAAGGACTTCACGTGACCAAAACTTGTCTATCTTGCTAGAGCCTGAGAAGGTTCGGACTTACACTGGTTGTGGCTTACACTGGCCTAGTATTTTTTTTCTTTCTTTTTTGTATTTTTTCCAATTAAATGTAAAAACAATTTAACCTGCATTTAAAAAAAATGAGTTCCAAATTGTCTGTCTCCCTCCAACTCCCTCCTCTCTAAGAGGGCAAACAGTTTGATATGACGTGTGCAGTCATACAAAAAAAATTCCACATTAGTCATACTGTAAAACAAAACACAGACCAAAAAAAAAAAAAAGAAGAAGAAGAAAAACTTAGGTAAAAAATAATGTGCTTTAATCTGTATTCAGACCCCATCACTTCATTCTCTGGAGAGGAACAGCATTTTTCATCATAAACCTTTGGAACTGTCTTGGATACTTGACTTGGGAGCTCTTGAATTGTTGTAATATTCCTGGGAATTTTCATTTTGGGATTTCTTTCAGAAGGTGATTGGTGGGTTCCTTCAATTCTATTTTACCTTCTGGTTCTAAGATATAAGGACTGTTTAGCTTAATAATTTTTTGAAATATGATGTCTAGCCTATTATCTCTCTTTGATCTATTTTTCAGATCAATTGTTTTTCCAATGAGGTATTTCACATTTTCTTCTGTTTTTCCATTATTTTCATTTTGTTTTATGTTTCTTGACACCTCATGGATTCATTAGGTTCCATTTGCCCAGTTCTAATTATTAAGGAATAATTTTCTTCAGTGAGGTCTCATACCCCTTTTTCTATTTGACCAATTGTATTTTTAAGGACTCATTTTCTTCAGTGAATTGTTGGACATCTTTTTCCATTTTTTGTACTTCCTTTACCACTGTTGACTCTTTTTTAGATTCTTTTTTAATCACTCTTATTTTCCCCCAATTTTTCATCTACCATATTTGATTTTTAAATTGCTTTTTAAGCTCAAGCAAATCTTTTTTTTTAACCTGAAATCAGTTTGCTTTTTTTTTCCTTTGAGGCTTCGCATGTACTTGTTTTAATATTGTTGTCCTCTTCTGCATTTGTGTTATGACCTTCCCTGTCGCCATAGTAACTTGCCATGGTCAGGTTATATGTTTTTTATTGCTTGCTCATTTTTCCAGCCTATTTCTTGTCCTCCAACTTCGTGTAAAAGTTGGGCTCTGCTC